AAAAAAAAAAAAAAAAAAAAGTTAAAGGCTTTAAATCACTCCAGCCACCCTCAGCCCCCACGGGGCCCCAGGCAAGGACCCTCTCCTCTCCCAGAAGGCCACTGGGAGGAGGAAATCTATCAACCAGCACCCAGTATCCGGCAGGACCCCAGGCTAGGTCAGGCAGTTTACCCGGTAAGCTGCGCCTGAGGCAGGAAGCAGACAGGGTGGGAGGGGAGGTGGGCTGGAGGGTCAGGTCTACTACAACAGCCAGAGAACTAGGAAGGAGAGGCCAGGAGCACCTGAGGCTCAGAGACAGATCTCAGCTTCCTGCCCCCAGCCCTCTATTTCATCGCCCAGAGCCCAAGTCCCTGGGGCCAGTCTAGACAGAATCAGGAAGGCACGAAAAGCACATAATTTAGTTCATGGCGAAATGCAGGGCAGGTGTGGGGGAAGCCCACCTCCAACCCCACTGCCTTGGTTACTGGGACAGGGAGGGCTCCAGCAGCTTCAGCACACCGCCCACCAGGTGCAGGCTGCCTGTGACCAGCACGTGGATGGCAGCAGCCTCCTGGAGGACGATGGCCCCACTGCCTGCCACAGGGTGGGCAAAGAGGACCCGTGGGGGACTTGGTGGCTGAAAGACAGGGTCCCGGCCTTGACTGATCCACTGCAAGGCGTGGGAAATGCAGCTGAAGACGAGGGAGCTGGCGCTGTGGGTGTGGGCTGGGCGGGGTGCCAGCAGCAGGGGTGCAGGCCCACCAGGCTCCGGGCTCGCCTGGTCCTCGTGCAGGCGGCTCCAGTGTTGCTGGTGCGCAAGGCAGCGGAGCAGCACCTGGTCCAGGGTCACTGTGAAGTTCTGTTGGTCTGCGGGGCACAGGGACGGGCGCATCAGCGAGGCAGCCGAGGGTCGGGGAGGGGGAAGCACGCTGTGAGCACCTGTGCAATGCCAGGCTTTATACAAGCATCATCCGTCCTTACAGTGGGTGCTATGAGGAAACTGGGGCTCAGGAAGTTCAGTGATTGCCCATCGTCACAGAGCCGGTGAGAAACAGGGCCAGGCAGTTTAGCTTCAAAGCTGGGGCTTCTGCCTACCAAGCACATCTTTCTGCCCTAGCCTTATTGCCTTCATCTGTAAAACAGACAGGGTCCATCACCAGGTGGGCATAAGCAGCTCTACAAATGCAGACTCCCGCACTGTCCCCACACAGTCTGATGTGGGGCCTCGGGATCTGTATTTTTTAGATTATTTCAAAAAAAACTTTTAACATGATCCGCAGTAAAAAAATACATTTTACAGTGGCAACCCAGTACTCACATATGTGCACATATATGTTTGGAACAGAATCTTCATCAAATAATACCTACCCTTAACTTTGTGCAAGACACACTGACACTCTCTTCTCTATTCTATTTAAAATTTAAAATGCTGGTTGAGACCCACTAAACTGACTTCAAGAACCATCACTGGGTTGTAACCTGCATTTTGAAAAATAGTTTCACCAACAATTCTTTTTTCAGTATTGCAGTCACATGCAAAATTCACAATGTACCAAAGGTTAGTTATTTATACGATAAAACAGATCTAGTTCCTACCCAAGACCTTCAGTTCAAAAGCTCTCACCGTCACCAACAGAGCAATCCACCTCAGGGCCCTCCGCCCCCCGCCCACCGGAGGGACCATGCCTGTCACCTCTTACCTGCGTTGTCCGTGGATGACACCTCTGTCAGGTTAGGGCAGAAAATGGTATAGTCAAACTGGCAGGGCTAGAAGGCCAAGGGGAGAAGCTCAGTGTCAGAGCCCTGAGACGATGCCCTCCATCCCAACTTCCGCACAACACCCCCGGAGTCCACATACACGTCTCCATCTCTGGAGATGCCCCCCCACCAGCTGAACTGGAGTGATGCTGCATAGACCGAGCCACAACACTTCCGTGTCCCCCATCTACCTCATTATACCCTGCCTGGCCCGTGGCCTGGGCCGCATGGCCCAACACAGACGGGGAGAGAGAGGCTGGAGCGGGGGGGCTGCATTTGCTTAAGGTGACGCAGCTACTGAGCACAAAGGATGTGAAGAACGGCCTCAGCATCCTGGTCTGTGAAATGGGAAACGATCACTAGGAACCATTTCAGCCCTGACAGTCTAGGGCAGGCTCAGTTTCCTTGGGCAGAGGAGGGCCCCTCCCTATATGCTCTATAGCCCGGTGACTCCTTAAACGAAACTTTAGAAGCAGGTATCCTAGTAGCAGCCCTGTTCTATGGAGAGGCAAACTGAGGCTCCGAAATGCCATCTCTTATCCAGGGTCATATGCTCGCAGCTAAAAGGGCCTGACAAGTGAATCCAGAGCCTGCGCCTTACACCACTTACCTGGTCCTCACTGTAATCCTGAGCTTGAGTGTGACCATGGAGGAGAATGAGTACAATGACCTGTGACTTGCCTTCCCTGTGCCCAGTGCTTTCACATTTAATCCTCAGTACAATTCAGGGGGGAGAGGAAAAATCACTCCCATTCTACAGTTGAGGAAACAGAGGCTCAGGGATGAAGGCACCGCTGCTGGGGGTCAAAGCCAGAACCAGGGCTGGGTTGCCTGCTGTCCATCCCCCAGGCAGCCCCTCACCTGCAGCAGCTTCAGCAGGGCCGCGGAATCCCGGTCCCCAGTGGAGTTGAAGAGCAAGACACGCACCTCAGACCCGCTGTGTGAGTGGTGAGGAGCGGGGGGAGAGGAGGGTCAGAGCGGCGCCTCCCACCCCTTCTCCGCGGGCCCCGCCCCACCCTTCCTCCAAAAACTTCCCGCCTCCCTACTGTCCCAGTCCGACCCCGTCCCTGCGACCCGCCCCATCCTTCCCCGAGGCCCCGCCCCTCCCCCCCGGCCCAGTCC